CCCTCCTTGGGTTGCCAAGGCGGTATTACTACGGAAGTAGATCGCCCAGTCTTCCTTCCACAGAGTGGGTGGTGGGTTTGAACAGCCAGCCTTCTGGTTAGCAGTCAAATGCCTTAGGCACTATGCCAGCAGGGATACTTTAATCCAGCAAAGAAGATGAATTACAAAGAAATTACAAAGGAAGATGAATTACAAAGATGAAGTAAAATGGATTACTAGAGCCAGCTTTTTCTTTCTGTGAAGTTTTCATCATTAGTTGACAACACAAAAGCCCCTTCCCTACATGTGTGCATTCAGTTATTTTATTTTTTTGCTTTGGGTACAGATTTACAGAGTAGAATTTGTTTTACATTCAACAGTTCATGTACATTTGGTTTCACTCCCTGATTACCATCCCCAATTGTTTTAATTACCATAGTGCCTCTCTGTCAGGAACATACCACAAATGGGATGGCCTTAACAAACATGAGTTTATTTTCTTACAGTTCGGGAGGCTGGAAGTCTGAGTTCCAAGTGTCAGGCTCTAGGGGGCTGGGTGAAAGCCCCTTGACCATGGGCTTCAGCTCTACCTCTTGTTCCTGGCCCACTGAAGCTAGAGGCATCTCTTCACTCAGGCAGCTACTGGCTGCTGAGGCTAACAAGCCCAAGGTCGACAAAGAAAATGGCACAGTCTTGATGTTACCAAACCACACAGCAGGCCATTAGTTTAAGTCCATTGACAGTCCCAAGGTCGGCAGAGCACGGCAGGCTGCTGAACAACGCAGGGCTACATGCAGGGTTCAAGTGTGCCATAAGCTGGAGACCATTCCCAAAGCTTCTCCTCATATATAGGAAGCAGACCACATCCCAAAGGCAGCTACTCATGGAGTTAATTACCAGTCTCATCATGGGGAATGCTACATCCAGCTGCCCAGCCTCTCAACCAGGCCCAGCCAACTTGACACACAGACATAACCACCACACCAACTCTAACCCAGTCTCCTCCTCTCCCTCCCCTGTGACACCCCCCATCCCTGTGCGCTTCTTCGTTAAGTGCTCCTACCTGTCCAGCTTTCCCTCCATGTGATTCATTCAGTTTCTCTTACCAGCACGTGCAGGAGAAGTACAAAACACTTCAGAGATGTCTCCAGGTGTCTTGTCGCAGGAAAGACAGAAAGTCGCCCTGCCCCACACTTGGCAAAAAGAGGGATGAGTAACGTGTGAGACCCCAGAGCTCCAGCACATTGGCTATTTACCGTGTCCTAGATGCTTGTTGATGAAAACAGGCTTTTGTCATAGCAACCCCTGTAATCACAGACAGCTGACTGTCTTGCAGTCCATCCTCCCATACCCCACCCCACACAGTGGGTAACTGGTGATGTGACAGAGCTGCTGTTGTTGTTAGGGGCTGTCAAGGAGATTTCAGCTCCTAGTGATCCCATGTGACCGAGTCGGACTGCATCATAGGGTTTCTTAGGCTGCACCCTAAGTCTTTCTCCTTCAGAGCTGCTGAGTGGGTGTGAGCTGCCAGCCTTTTGGTTAGCAGCCAAGTGCTTAGTTCCTGTGCCACTAGGGCTGCTCCTTACAGAGCTAGTGGCAGTAAGATACTTTCAGTTAGCAGGTTCTTCAGTTATAAAATACTTCATCTCAGTATTTTTCTATTGCTTTCATCTTTTTTGTCCCGTAGCTATGTTCATGGGAAATGAACGGTCACCTTTACCTTACAAGATGGTCAGAACTTTAGTGTAGTGGTTACGGGCTTGGGCTCTGGAGCTAGGGTGTCTGAGTTCAAATACTGACTCTTTTGCTTTCTTAGCTGTGCGACTTGGAATGCTCAGACTTTCGTCTGTAAAACAGAGATAACAAAACCTCCATTATAGGGTTTTTGGGAAGATTAAATGAGATCATGCCTGAGAAGTGCTTAGCACAGACACATAGTAAGTGGCTGTAATAATAATAACATTATCATTACAATAACAAATATTATCTGCTTTTAATAGAAATGGATAACATTGTGAAGAGTGAGAATTCTAGAATATTTAATTGAGCTCATGCAGAATCTGTACATAGGCCAAAAGACAGTTATTTGAACTGCATAAGCAAGGAGCTAATGCATGGTTTGAGTTCAGGAAAAGTGCTTGAGGATTGTATCCTTTCACCACATTTATTCAAATCAGAGAAGCTGGACCACATGAAGAAGAATGTGTCATAAGGCGGAAGACTCGTTAACAACCTGCAATATGTAGATGACAGCCTTGCTGGCTGAAAGTGAAGAGGACTTGAAGCACTTACAGACGAAGATCAAAGACTACAGCCTTCAGTATGGATTATACCTCAACAGAAAGAAAACAAAGACTTTCACAACTGGACCAATAAGCAACATCATGATAAACAGAAAATGCTGAAATTGTCAAGGATTTGATTTCATTTGGATCCACGATCGGCATCCGTTGGTGCATCAGTCATGAGTCAAACAATGTGTTGCAATTGGCAAATCTGCTGGAGAAGACCTCTATAAAGTGTTAAAAATCAAAGATACGTATTGGGGACTGAGGTGCACCTGACCCAAGCCATGGTATTTTCAAAAGGCTCATATGCCTGTGAAAGCAGACAATAAATAAGCAAGACCAAGGAAGAATTGATGCCTTGAATTACGGTGTTGGTGAAGAATATTGAATCAACCATGGATGCCAGAAGAACAAACAAGTCTGTCTGGGAAGAAGTATAGCCAGAATACTCCTTAAAGCAAGGATAGTGAGATTTCATCTCACTTCCTTTGGCCCTGTTATCAGGAGGAACAAGTCCCTGAAGAAGGATATTATGCTTGATAAATAGAGGGTCATGGAGAAAGAGGAGGAGCTACAGGAAGAGGAATTGACACAGTGGCTTCAGCAATGCACTCAGTCACAGCAGGGGTTGTGAGGACGGCACAGGACTGGACGGCGTTTGGTTCTGTCGGGTGGGGTCACTGTGAAGTGGAACTGACTCAGTGGCACCTCATAACAAGAACTACAACTTTTAATATTACTGTCTTCTCATATTCTGGCAAGTATTAGATACTGTGGCCACTTGAAGCTGATGAACTATCTATAGTGAATAATTATGTCACTAAGACAGGAACTGATTCAACTTTGGTAAGAGCTGACATCTCTTTTTAAAGGAGTGTCATACTTTGGTTTTGCTACTTCCATATTTTGATTAGAAAATGGACCTCAGAATTGTGCATTTATGGGTATGTTCTTAAGTGAATTCTTTAGTTTTCAGAATTGTTCAGGATTGAAAATTTTCTCGCCTTGGCATAGTCTGTGATTAGAAAATTATAACTCTAGAAGGACAGTACTTGTACGTGACAGGTCTTGGGGAGAAGGCCCAGAAGCGAAGAGCTTGGCCCACCTCCATAACGTACAGTGTGATTTGTCCAACCCTCACATGCCCTGGTGTCCCAAAGGTAACAGACATTGGCTGAGGAAGATCGATCACCGTCCTCCAGTGCACTCTTCCTTTTAGAGTGAGTCTCATCACTGCTGTCCTGAGTGGACCAGGTGTGTTTGCTTTTGGATGTAAATTAGTCAAGCAACATCCTTGTTGATCAGTGTTACGCTCATACCCAAGGTGCCAGATCACAGAAGAAATGGTACTGGAGAGGAGAGACCCCTCTTCCTAACGGAGAGGTGTAAACCATTCTCTCTAGGAAATAGTTGCACAGAGAAGGGGACATTTTCTAAGACTAGGCCTTTGGTTTTCCTTCCAGAATTTTCCAGGATATGCTAAGTAGCACTGTGAGGCAGTTGATCCTAGTTTATACATTTCCCTCCCACTGATTTAACCACCATTCACTCTCAGGGTTCTCTAGTCATATATAAAAGCCCAGCTTCTTCCACCACCCCCAGCAGCAGACTACCAACCTTACTCCACGTACTGTTTGTCTAGTTAGGCTCCAATCCATGTGATTAACATAAGTCAGATGTCCACAAAGTGCGTATTCTTTTACAAATACTAAATTCCACTTCATTCACTCAGCAAGTATTTATTGCTTGACTTCCGTGTATGTGTGAAACATTTGGTGTATTCAGTGGTGAAAAAACTGAGGGCAGAGATGATGACTCCAGTTGATGTAGGCAATAGACATGATGCAAAGAGGCCAATAAATGACTGATGAAGGAAAAAATAAACAGGGCACCATGAGAGAAGATAATAAGAGTACTGAGTCTGGGTCATAAGGTCAAGGAAAGCCACTCTGAGGAGGAAAAAAAATTAACCAAGTGAAATTGGGGAAAAGAACATTCCAGGCAGAAGGCTAAAGGCCCCCGAGACAGGGAAGTGCACCATGCTCTCTGTGAATGAGGCTGGGTAGTGAGGGGTGGAGCAGGAGAGGAAGGCGGGAACAAAGTCATGAGGGCCTGGGGCCTGCAATTTTGTTCTCAGTGGACGCTGAAGCCAGAAGCAGGACTGTGACGTTCTGAGGGGTCTCTGAGGCCATTGAGGGTTGTTGTTAGTTGTCCTCAAGTTGTTTGTGACTCGTGGGGATCCCATGTGCAGAGTAGAACTGCTCCCTGGGGTTTTCAGAAGCCAGGCCTAGCTTTCAAGGCACCTCCCAGATAATGGTCAGACGCTTAACCATTTGCACTACCCAGGTAGCCTGGCTACTGGGTATCAACTGGACTTGAAGAAGGTGAGAATGAAAGCAAGAGAACCACATAGGAGACCGTTGCATTAGTCCAGTGAGTAAGGGGATGGCTAGGACTAGAGTTGTGGAGAAAGAGATGTGTTTGGAAGGTAGAGCCAGAGATCTTGTAGGGGACAAAGGGAGGACGTCCTGAGAAAAGCCCCACGTGCACTTCTAAAGCTGGATTGCCCTTGTCTTCACTGACCTTTCCCTCTAGGCTGCATTTCCTTATTCACGAAGGTCACGAATCGTTCCTTTCTAACTGGCTTAGCTTTCAGTAAAGCTTAGGAACCCAGGTCAGTCTGGATTCTGAAGCCACAGTCTGAAACCTTACAAGTCACTGTTTGTTTTGCAGCCTACCAGGACCTCCTCTGAGAGTATTTATTCTCGACCTGGCTCTAGTGTCCCTGGCTCCCCAGGTCATACTATCTATGTAAGTATCTACTTTGGGGACAGGTAAGTTACTGTATGGACAAGCCATGCTGATAATCTGACATAGAAGCTAATTTCAAGCGAGTTCTATTTCTGTTATGAACCCCGATTTTCATTTTTGTGGATCAGCCTTCTCAAGTCATGTTACATTTTGGGTAATTAACCTTATATCTGACCATCATCAGAGTGCTCAAGTAGGTATCTGTAGAATGCAGTAATATGATACAAGGCCCCTTAAAAAATTGTTGCAGGTAACTTGCATGTATTTGGAGATTTAATTAAACATCTCATAATGCTGATTCTGAGTGTTCTTAAATTTTGCCACAAAGGTATTTAAATATTTGTTCTATTACATTACACGTCTTGTTTGTAGCCCTCTAGGAAGGTTTGTTTGTTTTTTTTTTTTTAAACCATCTGTTTGTGCCTTTCCTTCTCTGTAAATTTAGGCAATCATCTAAGGTTTTCTGACTCCTCTCCTGGATGAACTCTACATAGACTTTTTCCTAAGCTTTTGGTGACTTTTTTAAAACATGATTAATATATGGCCTAAATATGCTACAGAGTATGACTATGCTTAAAGCAAGGTGTTTTGGTCTTTATTTATTTTTAAGGTCTTTACTCTTTAAGCAAGACACAGGATTCACTAACAAAAATTCCCCCAAAGAAATTAGGCTGCACAGCAATGTTTCTTTCTGTTCCACTTTTCCAGGCAAAAGTAGACAATGAAATCCTGGATTACAAGGATTTAGCAGCCATTCCCAAAGTTAAGGCAATTTACGACATTGAACGTCCTGACCTTATCACCTATGAGCCTTTCTACAGTTCTGCCTATGAGGACAAACAGGAGAGACAGAGCCTCGGGGAGGTAATAAGTTCCTAAGGTTGCGAACTGTACAGCTTACCTTCTCTTCTATTGCATTATAAACACTGCTGTTGGGAGTCAGAGTAACTCACGGTGTCCTCTTGATTGCTTGCTATTTGCAGGCTTCCCTGGCAGGTGCTTTGAGGTCCTCAGAAGCCTTCCCCTCAGGGGGCTTACCGAGAGGTGGGGAAGTTGACTAACCCTACACACAGCCACTTTCCTGGAGTGATTCAGACTCATGGCAAACCCATGTGTGTCAGAGTAGAGCCGTGCTCCTTGGGGTCTTCAGAGGCTGGTTTTTCAGAAGTGGATGGTCAGGCCTTTCTTCCAGGGCACCTCTGGGTGGACTCTAACCTGCAACCTCTGGTTACCACCCAAGCATGTCATCCGTTGGCACCACCCAAGGACTACCACGTGTACGACGCACCCAGAAAACCCACTGCCATGCCATTGAGTGGCTTCTGACTCATAGTGACCCTTTAGGGCAGAGTGGAATTGCCCCATGGGTTCCCAAGGCTGTCAATCTTGAAGGCAGCAGAGCCCAAGCCAACCCCACTGCCGTCCAGTCGATGCGGACTCACAGTGCCCCTTGAGGACGGAGCAGGGCTGCCCCACAGGGTTCCCAAGGCTGTAATCTTCACAGAAGCGGACCACCCTATCTTTCTCCCACAGCATCTCACTGACTTCCACACAACGGGGAAGGGTAAATACGCATCAGTACCAGCTCGTAGGGTAGTGGGGCCATCGTGCTGAGATGGAAGCTGATGTTGGCAGGGGAGACTCTCGGAGAATAAAGGAGGGAGGGTCTTCCAGGGGGTCTCGGGCATGGGCAGCTTTATGAGAGAAGCACATGACACAGAGCTTCCTAAATTTTGCCAGCTTCAGTTTCCAGCATCTTAAGATAGAATGTGCAAGGAAAGAAAAAGTACAGAGAAGGGGACAACCAGCAAGCGCGGTGGAAGGAGCCAGGGTTCTGGAATCTAAACCAAACCAAACTGACCGCTGTCAAGTCGGGTCCGACTCATAGCAACCCCCCCTTGGGTTTCCGAGGTGGTATCACTGCGGAAGTGGATTGCCCAACCTTCCTTCCGAGGAGTAGCTGGTAGGTTTGAACCACCAGCCTTCTCGTTAGCTGTCAAATGCCTTAGGCACTATGCTACCAGAGCTCTGGGAATCTAATTATCTAGGCTCAACCCAGAGGCCATGCTGGTTGTGTGAGTCTGGATATGTTACGACTGCAGATCCTAGTTTCATCATCTGCAAAGTGGATAGGATAATGATAGACCCCACCTCAGAGGGTGTTAGAGACGCTTATATAAACTAACCTACGTAAAGCAGTTACAAAGAGGGCCAGATGGGGTCAGTGGTCAGCAAGTGTCAGATGCTATTATTTTTACCTGCCCTCTTGGGACCTGTTAAAGCTGGGCCATCAGATCCCTCCAGCTGCAGACTAGAGCCTCTTTAGCCCCTTGCCCCACCCCGACACCCCCTCCTCCCAGGGCGGGAGTTCCCTGCTCTCGTCCTACGCAGGTCTAGTGAGCTCTGATCCCGTTCCTCGGGCCTCTTCAACTCATAGTACGTTTTTTCCCTTTAGTTTTTAAAATTGGATTATCTATAACTGATTTGAATCTACTCAGAGAGCTGTGAACAAGCATTGAAATCAGCCATTCAACCAAGGTTGAAACAAGACTATGAACAGCCAGTAACAAAGACCTTCCCACGGTGCTTTGAGCTCTTAGATGAGAAGAAGAAAAGTCATGAACATGTGTGACTCTGTTTAATTCACTCTGAATTTATATATATAGTTCTTTTTTTTTTTAATCTGGTGTTTGTTCCAGAATGTAGTAGGTCTGCAGGGAAATGGTCTGTTAGGCAGAAAGTGACACTCGTTTTCATGTACTGCCACCTAATGGTCACTTAGTTGTAGCTGCCTCGGTGACTGCTCTAACAGCAGGTTGATTCTCCTGGATTGTTCATTGGCCATTGAGCTCCAGAGAGTTACCTAGGGGTCAAAGGACAAAAGGAATTTCTTGAACAGTCTCAGAGCAGATGGCCAAGAATATTGTAGTGCTCAAGTCAGACAAGCCAGGAAGGCGAGTGGTTTATGGTGTGATAAGGGGTGTGTGTGTGTGCGTGTGTGTGTGTGTGGCCTAGAAGTTCTATCTGGAGCAGCAAAACATCATAGTACTTGAGGGCTTGGGCTTTGAAGTGAACATTTCTGGGCTTGAAACCAGACTTGACATTTACAAACCATATGACTGGGAGAATTGCATACTTTAGTCTCCTGATCTGTAAACTCAAGGTACCTACCTCACAGGTTTTCTGTAAGGATTAAATGAGCTATTTAGAGTGAAACGGTGCCTGGAACATAATAAGTGCTGAACAGAAGTGCTGGCTGCTGTCCTCATCCTCATCCTCACTGCTGTCGTAACCTTAAATGATGAATCTGGTTTCGTCTGTGCACAGAATCTCACTGGATGGAGGGTGTCCCTTGGATCAGAAATAAGATATATTAGTGAACTGTTCCCCAATGTGAATCTCACAACTTAGAAAATATTACAAACTACTCATTTATGTTCCCATTCGTTGCTAACATTTCTTTGATTGACTAGATAGGTAGAGAGCCGTCAGGTTGACTCCAGCCCATGGCATCCTTTCGTACAACAGACCAAAGCACTGCCCTGTCTTGTGTCATCCTCCCAGTCACTGCCATGTTTCTGTCCATCCTTGCAGCCACTGTGCCAGTCCACCTCCCTGAGGGTCTCCCTCATTCTCACTGGCCTTCTCCATCACCAAATGTGATGTCCTTCTCCAGCACTGATTATCCTGATGACATGTCCAGAACGAGCCAGTCAGACAGTGTTCTGCTGTGAGCCATACAGTTTTCCTTGGCTAATTTTCAGAGATAGGTCTCTAGGCCTTTCTCCCTGCTCTGTCTTAGTCTGGAAGCTCTGCTGAGACCTGTCCACCATGGGTGACCCTGCTGGTGTTTGAAACACAGGTTGCATAGCTTCCAGCACCACAACAACATGCAGCCCACCACAGGATGGCACTGGCAGGTGGTACACCTCATTCATGGAATCCATACACTGTCATCTTAGAAAGACCAAAGGAGAAATGTAAAGGTCTCGAGGTGGCCATTTGTGCCATTAGGAAGTGTGAAGAGTGGGTCCAGGACTCTGCTGTCAGAGCAGGGCAGACCTCTCACAGCTAAGATGTCCTGGAGACAGGAGGTGGCTGCAGATGCGGCAGTGGCTCTTGAGTAACTCTGGGGCACAGGAGGGTCCGGCCACTGTTGTGAATGTGGAGAAAGGGACAAATTCTGGAGCTGAGAAATCCATCACTGCTGGGATCTCTGAAGGCTTTGTTAACATTTCATTTCCATTTGAAAGCTCTCTGCATTTTAATTCTAACAGTTCATTCTTTCAGAAAGTGTTTGTTGAGCACTTAATATATGCCAGGACCCTCTCTAGTCACTGGGAGCACATAGTTGTAAATGAGCAAAGCCGCTGCCCAGCTACATAATCTAATTTTAGGTGGAGATAAGTACAGTGAGAGAATGAAGCAGAGTAAGGCAAAAGCATGATGGGGACAAGGTTGCTGCTTTAAATAGGGGTCAGAGAAGGTGCTGTATAGAGGTACGTTGGCACAGAAATCTCACTGAAGGTGGAGGGTGAGCCCTGCAGACTGAAAGACACTGCAGGCAGCAGGAACAGCATGTGCAAAGGTCCTGAGGTGAAGAAGGCCTTGGCCCGATGACAGAAGCTGACAGATGAGTGGCGGTAAGGTTGGTGAAAGGGTCAGGGCAAAATGCCACATGGCTGTTATCCCAATCTGACTTCAGTCACCAAACGATTTTCAGTGACTGCTGGTCATAACACGTTCGGCAGTGCTGTTCACAACATCTCATGCATCAGTAGAAGCTGTAACTCTTAGTAGTAAACTGAGCCCTGCCTCTGCAGTCTGATCAGCAGACAGGTGGCAATGCTGGCTTGTATAGTTTGAATAATGTTCCTGGGTGATTCCAGTAGGCAGCTCGAACTGAAACTGGTTAAGAGCTAATGAAGATATTGACTTGACCTTCTCTTTTGTTCTAGTCTCCAAGGACTTTGTCTCCTACGCCATCAGCAGAAGTAAGTACCGTTTTCGGAAATTACAGTGGTAGTATTTGGGAGTTGCTTGGAACTGTCCCAGACTGTAATTTTTGAAAAAGGGCATAATACAAAAGGACCCCACGCCCCCCCCCCAAAAAAAAACAAAGACAGACAGACAGACTGCAAGATTCTGATGTAAGGAGTACTTGCCTGTGAGACATGATGATATAAGATAATGCAGTAGTAAGGCCAGGGCATGAAAACAGCCTAACATGGACCTGCATTTGCACCTGTGAGTGGCAGGAAATAGTTTGAGTGAAGGTTCTTGGCCGAGTGGGGGGCTCTCTGGCCCATGATTGTCACCTGAATCCGAACGTGCTGGATCATCTGAAGTAACCAGCAGTGGATGCCGTGTGCTCTGTGATCGGAGCCATTTTCTCTGGAGACCACTCCTGGGGACCAGCAATCAATGGTTTAGTCTTAAAGCCATCTAGCTTTCCAAATAATCTTTATAAAACTGGACAATTCTGATGATATCCTGTAGGATCCCATTTCAGGCACTAACAGTACTCTGATGGTTGACAACTGAACGCTGTGCATAATGATTTATGAGCAAGGTTATGAAGAACTGACTTCTGTTATTGACCAATTGTAAGGTCGAAGTACATCGTTTGGGGACCTTTTTGTCATTTTTGTTGTTCTTTTTATTTAGCTTATTATTATAGCCCAACTAAGACAAACCAAAGATTCCTAGCCATGTGCTCTCCAGTTTCTAATTAATAGTCATTATTCATACATTCTTTGGAATTTTTATTTTTATTGTATCATTGAATCTTAATAGGAAAACACATTCCTAAAATGTGAAACATTATTATTTGTACTCTCAGTTCTTTTAACGGTTGTGTGTGTGAGTGTGTGTGTGTGTGTGTGTTAATCCCTAACATATTCTTTGCTAGGTTTGGACATAGGTGGCATACTCATGGTATAGTTATATCCCATTGCTTGATAGGCCACAATTTGCTTAATTATTCCCCAGTTTGTTGGGCATGTAATCTAGATTTTTGCCTTCATGAAAGGTGATATCAATATCTTTCAATAAAGATACTTTTGATTGTTTTAAAAATCTATTAAAGATTATTTTTAATTGTTTCCTTGGAATGTGTTTCCCAAAGTGGGAAGTACAGTTGCTGGGTTTAAGGCCATGACAAGCTTGTTCTCTAAGAGAATTTTAAATATCACCAGACGCGGTGGGTTGGTGGTTGTAACAGTTGGTGCGGCCAGTTCTGACATGCACTCTGCCTGTACTAAACCCTGTGCCCACCCACGGGTCACTCACCTCCTTGGAACCTTGTTTCTGCATTAGTGGAGAAGGGAGGTAATACTGAATATGCTTATCTTCCTTATTGTTATGCAGATCTGACAAATGGATGTATGTAAACATGCTTTGTGAAATTGAGAAGCCCAATGTAAAAGTGGTCCTTGGAACTACTGCCTCTTTTCCCACACCTCTGTTGATATTAAACCAAACCAAACGCACTGCCGTGGAGTCGGATCTAACTCATAGCGACCCCTCCTTGGGTTTCCAAGGCAGTGTCACTACGGGAGTAGATTGCCCCATCTTCCTTCTGAGGAGTGGCTGGTGGGTTTGAACCGCCAGCCTTCTGGTTAGCAGTCAAGTGCCTTTAGCCACTATGCTACCAGAGCCCCCTATTGATATTAGCATTTATAATTTTTATATCTTAAAATCTTCCTACACGCAAGTACTGCAGGTTTTGAACAAAATATTAGCCACTGAATGCTCATTTACACGCATGTTTAAAGAACAAAGTCCTGAAAAATACGCATGAACAGGTCAGCTTTATAGTTCCTCAGCCTCTCCGGGACTTGATTTTACCTGACAGTGAAACTAGCAGCAGGTATGCTCTGTGCTCACTCTTGCTATCGGCTTTGTTTCCAGGGCTACCAGGATGTTCGGGACCGGATGATTCACCGATCCACTAGCCAGGGCTCCATCAACTCGCCTGTGTACAGCCGCCACAGCTACACTCCAACCACGTCTCGCTCTCCCCAGCATTTCCACAGGCCTGGTAAGGGCAGCGGCTTCACTCGGTACCGTAACCTGGGTTCCCATGTGTGTTTTTCCCCCATCACTGATACTGCACTGAAAAATGTGGCTGCCAAATGTTTCTACCTGTCTCCTAGGGGGAAAAATGTAAACTAACATTCAACTATATTTTATGTTATATCTTGTCTTGAAACGTCAATCAATTTATAGTTCTCTTCATTATGATTTGTAATATAATTACATTTTGACAGTGAACTACTCGTGGAAGCAAGTTTCATGAAATTCTCATCATTTTGACTTAAAATGAAGATCTCGAAGAGAAAATATTTTGATGCATTTTTTAGGCATATCAGCATCATCTAAAATCTGGTATTGCTATCATTGACAGTTTGATTATATTTCCTTATCCAGTAACATGGTGTTACAAATGCTTGGTTAAGCGCCTTCTAGAAGAAGTCTTTGGTGTTGCACTAGATGGCTTTTAAGATCCCATCTATCCACAAAATTTTGAGTCAGATTTGTAAAACTTTTAAATATATAACACGAACAAAGAAACAATCAATCAGATATGCCTCAGAAATACACTGCAATAGGAAATATCTAACAGTAGTGGGCTTGGGTTGACCCTTATTGGGGACCTCGTATGTGGAGGAGAATTAAGATCCCAGCGCAGGTTCCAGGTTCCCTGAGCAGCAGACCACAGAGGAGGAGCCTGGCTTTCTAAACACACCTGCTGATGACGTGCAGATGTCAAGCCTTTGTTTTAAGCATCTTACTCCCAGACATTCTAATGAGAACAAACCTGTTCATTCACATACTAAGTGCTTTTATAAAATGTATAAGGAATAAATGCAAAGGAAATGAACAGACTAAAAAGGCTGCAGGCTTCTCTTTAAAACTGTAGATTCAATGCTTGTAGAGGATTGAATTCTTGCTACTTGGTCTTTGAATAACATATAGTTTTCTGTAGGCTTCTAAATATTTTCTCAGTATTTAAATGAGTTAAGTAAAATCGTGGGAAAGTTTCTTTCTTTTTTAATGTATGACTGTAATTATTTTATTGACACCCTGGGCATGGGTCTGGATTTGAGCCCTTGTCTATCTGGGTCATGAAAAGTTCTTTATGGTGCCCCCCCCCCACATTCATGCTGAGGTCACTTAGACTCCAGCTGCACAATGTCAGGGTGGCATGGGGACAACAGGGAAGTTATCGTTTCAGAGACCCCTGAGGAGTAGGCAGGTGGCCCGTCAGGGACGCTGCTTCCCCCAAAAGGCATGTCCCCCATGAGCACTGAAAAGTTAGCGTCCATCTGATCCCGTCATGGCTCTGTGTCCGGTCGCCTGCAGAATGTGCCCGTGCCAAGCACGTCACCTCCCCTTTCACAGTATATTTCTGTGGATGTGTGATGCTGATTGATGGGATTTATTTTGGAGGTTTACCCTTCTTAAGAGAAGCTGGTGGGGTTCTGATAATGTGATTACAGTCTTCATAGAATACCCCAAAGTATCCACTCCCCAGATTTTAGATCCCAGGTGATGATTCAAACCCTGTAGTCTGCATTAGTTTGCATGCTCCATTCTGAGATCCCAGAGTTTCTAGATCCTAGATCCCCAGGGCTACTGCTGCCTATTTTGGAATCCTAAGTAGGCATTAGGAGCTCTGGTAGCATAGTGCCTAAGGCACTTGACTGCTAACCAGAAGGCTGGTGATTCAAACCCACCAGCCACTCCTCAGAAGGAAGGTTGAGGAATCTACTTCCATAGTGAAACTGCCTCGGAAACCCAAGGAGAGGTCACTATGAGTCGGGTCCGACTCAATGGCACAACAAACAACAAGTAGCTCTTTGCTACCTAGGGAACATGAACAGGTTTCCCTTCTACACACGCAAGATGCAATTAAGCTTCCAGCGAGAAAAGTTGGCAGCTTAAAATGGAACCTGCCCCTGCCTATAGGAACTACTTTTCAGGTTTCTTGACACGACTGCCATTTGTTTGCATGTTTCGGAGGGCTGTGTTTTTCAGGTGTTTCTTAAAGACAACTGTTGTACAGTCTAAATGATACTCCCGGTCCTGGTTCCCCAGTGGCTGGCATCATTCTGACACAGAATGTTCTGGAAATGGTTCCTTCTTATGAAAGCCATTTATTCTCAGAGAGTGAGTCTGTCCTGACCTCAGCCTGTGTGCAGATATTTCCTCTCAGCCTGACCCTTAGGCAGCACGTTCTTAACCCTTTTCCTTCCTCCTTTCCAGACTCCTGATTAACGCTCTTTATTTCCTTTCCCCTGCTCCTGTGTTAACTCCTGTTCTTCTTTCTGTCCCCCTCCCCCTGCCCTTGACTCCTTGCTGCACAGAGCTGCCGTCTCCTGGTGTGCACAGGTTGTCCCACCTGCGCACCAGCAGCCTCAGCTCCGCCCACAGCGACTCCCGCCCCAACTCCCCCTTCCGACACCACTTCATTCCCTATGTCAAAGGTAAGAAGTCAGGCTTCTCCAGGGCGGCACCCTGCGTAGTGGAGATTTATTAGCACCGGGGAAAGCTAATAAGTTGTATCTCCAAGAGTCAGCTCCAAGCTTCTGACCTCTCAGCATGCCTGCCGTGTGTCATGACTATAGCCAGCAGTGCCTTAGAACTGGCATAGCATCTCTCCTCGGGAGAGAGATGTCATTTCTAAGGGCTCCAAGTGAAGAAACAGGAAGTACGTTTAAGATGATGTGTGATCTACCGCTTAGAACAATATATATTATTGTTTTGTTTTTGTATATGTCAAAAACAAAATGTGACCTCTAACTGCATTGGTTTTATTTTCCTGGTTTTAGTATGTGATACTTCTTAGCAAATGCAACAGTATTCAGCAACACATGTCCAGAAGGTGCCTGGACAGTGGTGGGCTACTTAATAACACCAACAAGTCTACCCACTACAAAAAGACCCATGGCCACTGAGCAATCAGTTCATTGTTTCAAATGTAACTTCGAGTTCTCTCTTAGAGCCAACTCTTCAGTGGTCTCCTTTGGAGTTTTCTGATTCCCACACAGTGGAGAAGGGAGGCTTTGCCCTCTATTTCCCATGCCCTTTGTGGGCTGGAAAATTAGCCTGCCACCCTTACTGTCCCATTCCCTTTACGGCATCCCCATGGTTCTCCTGGTGGTCCATTCTGCTTCTGTGACAGTTCCCAGCCAGGACTTTGTTCCCCTTGTGTGCTGAGGGGGCCACGAGCCCTGAAGAAGTTGTCAAGGGGCCACAATTTGAAACAAGTAAGATCTCACAGAGGGATGCTAACTTTTTCCATAGTCTTCATTTGAACCAAATTAACCAATTAAAACAGCTATGGGAGGGAGTAGGGAGCAGCACACATGTTGCCCTGGCTCTTGAAACAGGGCTAAAGGATCCCAGCCGAGTGTCCCAGGCGCTTACATCACTAATGCACCTAAGGCCAGAAAAGCAGGTGTACTGTGCTTCCCAGCACCAATTCCTCTGTGAGCTTGCTATCTCAGCATTTGCCGTGATGCAGAAATAATGCGGCTGAGGTGCCTATCGAACACACACCATCTGCCATTCACAGAGAGGCCAGTCCTTTTCAGTAGGTGCAGCGCTTTCTAAAATACTTTTCCTTTCATTTAAAGACATTTATTAGGCATCTATTAATTGCCAGCCACTGAGGAGACATACTGTTTTGATATCAGAGTCACTTTGAAGCAATCTAAAACACATAACATACATTTACCATTTTTAAATTTAACAAGTAATCTGTAAGCAGACATCCCCCTTATTGTATATTGCCTTCCCCTTCATCCAAGTTAATATGTGTCTATCCTCTAGTTAGTGGTTTACCCTTCCTTCTCACCCCTGGTGACCATCAGCCTAGTGAAAATTACTGTCCTTTAAAATTATTATTGATAGATTATTGCTAATTAGTATTTATTGTCTGGATTTCAAGATGCTTCTTTAGAGAACATCTCTAGAACCATGGGAAATGATTGAAGAAACTTCCCATATATTATTTTAAAGAGCCTCAATATAGAAGCCCTCTGGTGGCATAATGCCTAAGGCATTTGACTGCTAACTAGAAGGCTGGCGGTTCAAACCCACCAGACACTCCTCAGAAGGAAGATTGGGCAATCTACTTCCTAGAGATACCATCTTGGAAACCCAAGGAGGGGTTGCTATGAGTCGAATCGACTCCAGGCAGTGAATTTTTTTTTTTATTGTTGTCGTTAGCCAAATTAAGGCTTTTGTTTGTTTGCTTATCTAATACAAGAGATAATACATTTCTTTTTTTATATTGCTTGCAAGGACATGCGATAATTCAAAGGATGCCCTCTGAGTGTCAAGGAGAGTTTTAGTTAATGAATAGTTAAGGCTTTTTGCTAATTATTTGTACAGGCACAAACCTCAAGTCCTTAAAATCAGTTTTGTTCCCTTCAAGGATTTGAAAAACAACCCTTTCTTCCCCCATACTCCTCCTCCCTCTCCAAATCTGAGATTTTTATGAGGAAAAGGCTTTGAAAAAAATAAAGCACTATGGAACTACTGGGGAAAAAAAAAAAGAGAGAGAGAGAGAGAGAGAGAATATATTTTTTAATTCATTGAAACATAAACTTCCACACTTTGCTATCATGTGCCCCATCATTCAGCAGAGGTATTTTTTTAGAATGAAAAATGCCACATGCCCAGGGAAGTCACACACAGTGTGTCCAGATAGCAGGTTGCAGAACCCCAATGACTAACAATACCCGTGTCTGTGAGCAGCCTTGTTGAGAAGTGGAAGCCTGTGGAAACAGTGTCCTAGGTTTGAGTCTAATCTCTGTCACTTGCTGGCTGTGTGACCTTGAGTTGATTATGTAGCTGTTTGAGCGTCACTTTCCTCATCTGTAAAGTGGGAAGGATGATACCTGTCTCCTAGGTGCCTAGGGGGGTGTGGGGTGAGGTGCCCCGTGTATAATAAACACTCACTCTAGGTCTACCCCCAATATGCTCCTGGTGTGTGCTTTACCGCCCCCAAAGCACTTTTGGCTGCATCAT